ATTAAGTACGAATAGTTTGTCTAAATTATGATAAGAATATGAATCGCAAAACCAACTCTGGTATGAAAAGTCACCAACTTTAAAGAGATGTATAAGAAAACTTTCATACTATTTGTGAAGAGTACTTTCTGAATAAAAATAATTATTATTAATAGTGTTCATTTTTAATGACCACTTCTTCCAATCAGGAACATGATGATATGCTTCAGTGTGTATTATGATATTATTATATCATTAATTAATATCTGATGTTTATTTATTAATTTTTAAGTTGTTGATAATTGAGTGAGGCTTGGAGATCTCAGATCATTTCAAAAAGCAGAGGAAAAAAAAAACACGGGGGGAGAAACAGAGAGAATAATTAAAGTCTCATACCCTCATTAAAGAGGCTGATTTTCGACGAATTCATTTTCACCAAGCCCTGATCGTATTTCAACCTCAGAAAGTATATAATCCCATCAAGGTGTTTTATACCCACCAAAATATTTGCTTCGAAAGTTTCCCATTTGCTTTTCCCATACTCTTCTTTCAATTCTTCTCTTAAACCTTGCTATTTCCCAGAAAAGAAAGCCATGGACAAGTGCCGCAGAAAGCAAGAAAAGACTGAAAGCTCTTACTCGGAAGGTCAAGTTCCATCTCTTTCTACCACTGATTCATCCAATTCTGGCTGCTTTCTTTCTCGATTAAAATCTGGGTTTCTTCTTCATCCTACACCCATGATCTGTTTGATTAAAGCTCTGACAGAACTTTTGCATGTCAAGCTGGACCTGTTTTGTCTCTGTTTTTTATCAGTTATTCGTCTTTTGTAGTTTCTCTCCTTGAAGGCTCAATTGAATTTCAACATATGGCTTAAATCTCCGAGTTTTATCATAGGCATTTCCCTTCCCAGTTTTGGGTCCGATCATTCTGATTTTAGCTAAGCTGTAGTCACATGTAATTGCAGAGGTGAGCAGCATTGAATGGGAGTTCATAAACATGTCAGAACAAGAAGAGGATCTCATTTACAGAATGTACAAACTGGTGGGAGACAGGTACAGCTCGTTCAAACTTCAAAATGATTTCCGGTTCTGTGTATATAATTTAATACCCTCTGAAACAAACAAATTGCTTTTTGGGCGTCAAATCGCTGAATTTTCTCGGCACCGACCAGCTTTCTCTCTTTCTTTCTTGATCTCCTTCCTTTTTCTCAAGTCTTCCTTTTCTTGTTCTTTCTTCCTCAACTGGTTAAGATATCATCAGAATATTATCATTCAGAAAGCAGCTGAATCTCCTTAATTTTTTTAAAAGATGAATGGATCTCTGTAATTTAACAACAAAACCTTTGATGGCAGAGACTCTGATTGAAAGTGGCCTCCCGTTTTTAATTTTGTTTTTAAACAATAACAATAAAGTAGACATTGTTTAATAATTTTTGGATGGGGAAAATCTGTTGTCAGCCCAATCGTACAAGAGCTTTTATCCCCTCTCTGTTCCTATTTCGAACCGTGTCCCACGTTCCCGATCTAAAAAGGAACATGATTTTTTTGCATTAACAGGACATGGGTGTGGTTTTATTAAAGTTTTTGCGTTTTGGAAGAAAAAATAACGAAGTTTTTGATCTTGGAAGTTGTGGTCCATCAACTCGGTTTAAGTACTCTGTAATTTTTTCGTTGACAAAGTCATCTTTAGAGCTAGTGATCAACTATGGTAAAAATTTGTTTTCATGACCAGACGACAGAAATCATTATTACAATATAACTAGTGATTTCCAGAAATATTCCATAAACTTGACTATAATTCTAAAACCTGATTTCTTATGAAAAATTACAAAAAATCTTTACCCAAATCAACCACAACTCTAAGAAGAAAAGCTGTAAATGAATATAATCAAAATACTTATGTATATGAAAAATATATCCCGGAAAACATGGACGTGCAATTTTTTTCGAAAATTTTCTCTTTATATTACTCATAAATTGAGCTCTGTTACATTCTGCAATAAACACACAGTGTTTTTTGACCGTTGAGGTGAGGGACCATGGCTGATCAAGAACTTGGTAGAGCTTTTATTTGAACTTCTTCTTCTTCGTCCTCCCATTATTATAAATATCATTAATGGAGCTTTTACTTGCTACATGTAAATTTGTGTTTGTCAGATGGAGTCTGATAGCAGGTAGGCTTCCAGGTCGAAAGGCTGAAGAAATTGAGAGGTTTTGGATTATGAGACATTCTCAAGTGTTTGCTAGCAGAAGACAAGAAAAGCCTACCAGATGTGAATCCTAATTTTATATAATAATGCCCTCTTCTTCTTCTTCTTCTTCTGTTTCTTTTGTTTTCAAGAACAGCTTCCTTAATTATTTCTCAACTCTTTTTGTATCCCTTTTTTGTTTTCCGATGCTATTTGGCTAATCCGCTTAAATATTAGGTTTATTTTCCGGATTTTTTAAATCGATAAATTGCAAAGATGAAAATAAAAAAAAATTAACTTTACTATTTTGTCGTCATTTGCTTCATGTATGCCAACAGTACTTCCTGTCTTTAACATAAGAGCTAGTTAATTAATTTGAATAGATTAAAAAAATTAGTTAAGTTAATTATTTGTAATAAATAGGTATTGTCTTCTTTAAAATACATTTACTAATCAGGTGCATTAGTTATAATATTTAACACATATAACTACTATATTTTGAGAAAAATAGATAAATATGAAAAAAAATAATATGAGGTTTTATATTTAAAACCAAATTGAATATTAAACTAACTATTATATAAAATATTGGATGTAGTATTATTTTAGTCTCAAGATTCTCTTCACTACGATGGAGAAATTTAATTATATTGTTGCAAATCTTGATCGTAGATTAAAATTAATTTATTTAAATGTTACATTTTATTAAGGAAAAAGAATAGATTAACCTGAACAATTAAAGATTGATCCAAACGATCTTTGTAACTTTAGGAAAAAGGAGGTGGAAAGGAATAAAATCGAGAAAAACCAAGCTAATTATTTTGTCACGCACACCTGACCCGATAAAAGTGTAGATACTCCTCCGGTCCTTAATATAAGACCCATTTAACTAATTTGATTAAATTAAGGAAGTTAGGTAAGTTAGTTAATTATAGGAAAAGTGTTACATTTTTCCTAAAACACCATAATCATCTTTCTTAATACCCCTTCTCCCTCTTCTACTTGATTATGGTTGAGAGAGTATACATAAGGGTATTTTAGAGAAAATTGATAAATATGAGAAAGGGATCTTATATTTAGGACCAAAACCAACACAAGAATTGGGTCCTATATTAAGAACAGGAGGAGTAATTAATAACCTTATCCCCGAAACTAAATCATGAATCCAAAACTTGAACTCCCAAAGGAGGGTTGGTCGAAAAATACTCCTTCTTATTCTAAACATGTTAAGATTTTTTTATTAAATAAATAATTTTCCATACAAATAACTAAAATAATATTTTAAAAAAGTAACCCATATTTTTTTATGAATAAATAATTTATAGAGTGTACGACAATTCTCCTTATTATAATACTCCTCCGGTCCTAATTATAAGATCCAATTGACTTATTTGAGGAGATTAAGTAAGTAAGTTAAGTTGGTTATTTATAATAAATAAGTGTTGTTATTCCTAAAATATCCTTGCTAATTAAGTATATTGGCTAAAACTATCATTATTAGAAGGATTATCTTGGAAAAAAATGTATAAATATAAGAGAGAAAATGAATTGGGTCTTATAATTATGACCAAATAAAAAGTCAAATTGGGTCTTATAATAAGGACCGGAGGAGTAATATATTTCAGGAGGCTCAGGTTGCCAGTAGCAATTATTGAAAATTAAAGCATAAAACAAAGAGACGACATAAAAGGAGCAAAGTCTTCACGGACTCGCCGATATATAATAGTTTTACTCCCTCTTATCAATAATTTAAGAAGTTAGTTAAAACTAAATTGTGGTTCAAAATGTAAAAAATTGTAAAGATAATTAATATAATTTTTTTCATTTTTATTCCTATTAAATACAGGAGAGAGATAAAGATAATAAAAATTTAACATTAAAAATAAATTGGTAAAATAAGAAAACTCTATCATTTTAGAATAAATTTAATATATAAAAAAAGTAACCAATTTCTTATATTATGAAGACAGAGAAAATATTATTTATTTCTAATACGTCCATTGTGGCTCAAAATCGAGGGGCACGTTTTAGGAAAAATCATAATAAAAAACTCTGAAATTTGAAAAACGCAGATAAGAACCTATGACAACTTCTTTTTGACAATAATAATATGTTATGAAATTGTTAAAACCCATAATAAAGTTGTCTCGGGTTTTTATCTATATTTTTCAAATTTCAGGATTTTTTTTTGGGATTTCCCCCACGTTTTATCCTAATTTCCTTTTTAAGATATGAACGCTTAAAGTAATCCATCCAAATCCATCTGTTATTGGGAGGCGGCTTTCCTACTACCGTTACAATCCACTTCTCCTTGTCTCCCCAAAAGTCCAAAACCATCTTAAAATTGAAGGCTCTCCACCTCCCCCCCCCCCAAAAAAAAATCAATTTAGCATCCTAAAATAATTTTTAATACACTTAATATTTAAAAAATATTTTTCAGTAGTAGCCAATATCTACCAAACTGTATTCTAGACTAGTTTTTAGTAGTACCTAATATTCTAAAAATGGAAGTTGACCGCTTTTTTAAACTAATATCTATTATTTTGAAATATCTTTTGGTAGCATCTAGTAACTTAAAATAATTGTTAGTGCATTTAACACTTTAAAGTGTGTTTACTGTGACACCCAGTATCTAACAACTTGGACATGTAGTTTTTTTTTTTTTAAGTAGCACATAGTGTTCTAAACAAATTTTAGAATATTTGGTGTTATACCAAGAAAATAATATATGATTTTAGAATACTGGACACTATTAAAAAATAGTTTAGAATGCAACGTACTAAGTACTAGATATTACTGAAAAATATTTTTAGATAGTGAGTGTACTAAAAATTATTTTAAAATACTGAATGAAACAAAAAAAAATGTTTCAAAGTAAAAGATGATATTTTCAAAAAAAATAAAAAATAAAGAGCCTTAAATGTTAACAACCAAAAGAGCATAGTTTTGGATAAGGTAGAAGAGGAGGGTAAAAAGGGCGGCGGAAAACCGCTCCCCTATTATTGTCCATTGTACGTGAATTAAACATTACGTGATTGAAGTGATCAAATCGACTTCATTTAATTTAAACAATCAAATGATTGGGACTTCTTTGAAATGACTTCTCAACGAATCAGACACAGACGCATAGCTAATATTCTATCAAATAATTAATGTGCCACCGACGGACTGTATGCATCCTGGAATGAAAATGCCTTGCGTTACGTTAGCCTTTGTTGCTTCCGTATGCTGTTTACCAATGAAAGTGACAAACTGATGTATAACAAATACATACTACCCTGCTGGTCTTTAATACTACTATAAGATATAATCTGTAGTTTAATTTTAATTATAAACTAGATTTTATGCTAATGATACAAAATATTATTTCATTACTTTTTGTTTTTTTAAGAACTACTACAATACGACTTTCCTAGCTCAATCACTAAACAAAGTAAAGTATAAAATAACATAGCAGGAAGAGGATTCATATGCCTAGTTTATACCTATAAATTAAAGAACGAAATACATGCAATTGAGCTCTAAATCGTGCTAAATTAAATAGAACTGAATTAAACTTTGTTGACATAATTTTACATAGGTCAATCCGTCAATGTTTAGTTGCCTTTTAGGTGACGAAAATCCAGTTAAAAACTCGGAGATTTCATTCGTTAGTAGTACTGTCCTTATCGCTACGGTAATCTTGCAGGAATCAGCCTCATCCGTCTTTATTTCTTCGAGGTATTCCCATTACGAGATGCACCTGTGACGTTGAAAAAAAGGGAGAAGAAATATTTTAAAATTTATTTTATTAGATTAGATACATCAAACCATTATAAAAATTTTAGTATCATAAGCTGTTGTTGAAACTAATTAATACTTACACATATTGTCTCCTGTTCTGATTATAAGACCTAATTGATTAATTTGAGGAGATTAAGAAAGTAAGTTAAGTTAGTTATCTGTAATAAATAAGTATTATCATTTCTAAAATATCCTTACTAATTAAGTATATTGACTATAACTATCATTATTAGAAAGATTATTTTGGAAAAAAATATATAAATATGAGAGACAAAATGGGTTGAGGTCTTATAATTAAAACCAAATTAAAAGTCAAACGAAGTCTTATATTAAGGAACGGAGGTAGTACCTTGCAACAGAGGTACCATGTGCCGCTCACTTCCCAAGCATTACGTAGTCTTCCTTCCTGCAATTAAAAAAAGAAAAACAAAGAAAGAAAAGTCTGAGATATTAGTATATATGTCTCAATCTGCTATTAATTATATCAGAATGATCATCCTTCTAATTCCATGTTATTTATAAGAAAACACTACTTTAGAGCGAAGAATCCTGAACAAATGGACGTAATGTTTAGGATGTGAGTAAAAGATGAGCATAATGTTTAGAATGTGAGTAAACGGATGGGATTACGAGTTCTGATAAGAAAGCCAGAACTCATTGGACTGCTCAAACAAGAAGGGATGCATGGGGGTCAATCAGAACAAAGTGGTGAGAAACAGTGGAACTATTAAAGCATATTTTGAATGAAATCACAGAAGGAATCGATATTTATTGAGCTTAAGGTATGTGAGGTACCAGCAGATATAGAGCATCTATGTGAGAAGCAAGGCTCTGAAATCTAAATTATTAAATATTTAGTGATAAGCTCGGCATGATGGTCAAGTGTCATACATTCAATAATTACAAATACTGCATGATTGTCAAGTGTCAAACATTCGCTTCTAAGGGGCCTACCTACGAGTTCCAGGTTGGCACCTCCTAACATGCATGTCAGAAAAATTTCAACTTACATTGGCTAACCCACCAATCCACTTTTTTTTTGGTAAAAATTTTAAATATTTAAATCATAATTGAAAAAAATATAATATCTTCTATGATTTATCATTTTATAAATATTATTAATTTTATTGACATTTAAAATTCTATAAAGATTATATATCTAACTTTACGCTCAGTTTAATACTTTAGATACGCATTATTTTGACTATATATAGCGGCACAAATATTTAATTATAGAATGGATTGCAAGAACTTTTTTTTTTTGGGGGAAAAATGTAGAATCATACAATAACTCAAAAGGACAAAAGGTGCGAATGATCTGTAACAATTGGGATCAAAACGAGTTAAAAAAATGCGGGCATTTGATTTAAGCAATCTAATTAAAAGATTTATAGTGATCGATAGTCGAACTTGCGAAGACTTGGTCAAATGATTGGTTGTGGTTAATTAGAATATAACAATATAATTTCGATATACCAGTGAAATAAAGAGTGAAAATCTTTCTAACTTGTGTAGTTTGTAATAAAAATATTT